GCCAGAAAAAAAATGCATCTAAAACAATCTTCTAAAGTCACAGAATCACAGTTTTGCAGAACTGTAAAATTAATTTTTGCTACATTTACAGTAGAAAACTGCAATCTGTGGTTATAAAATTTAAGGTACAAACTAAGTGATGATGTTATAAGTATTACTGGCATTTTTGTTCCTGTATATGTTGCAGTCCATGTACTGTATGTCATTAAATTAAATTATATAATGTTAATTATGCCTACCGATTTGAGCTATTAAAATTTGTTTATTACCATAAAATGGACTGATAATAACACAATAGAAGACCAGATGATGACTTAAAGTTCCTAAAAATGTACCATTCCAGCAACTGTGGCCAATAAAGACAAATATATAAATTATTAAATTAATAACTGTAACAATATTTGATTGTAAAATTATAAATTTTGCCTTAGCTATATATATTTTAACTTTTTTTTTACATTACAGTAAAATTATGTATTGTCTTATCAAATATAATTACATATGCCCATACTGTAGCCTATGTGACAAGGCAATTTACTTTTAAGGATTAAAAGATTTCTACTATATCATTTTACATTCTTTTTCATTTTTAAAAATTCACATGGATGGACCAAGTTGATGTTTAATTATGTGTGCAGAAAGAGAAGAGCCTTATTTGGAGTCTAATTGAAATTCATATGTAATTGCATGTTTTCAAACTCAGCTGCCCACTCAATTCAAGACACACAAAATTATGAACATAACGATTCGATCAAGCTTGTGCAGTCGCAGGTGCACATTTTCTATTCTTCCTCTTTATAAAATACCATGAACACTTTACGAAAAATGAAATTGCTTATAAATCATTTAAGTATATTTAGAAGAGATGGCGATTGCTTACGGGGTGTATCCCGCCTAGACAAACGTGAAAATGCTTATCTTAATGGTCAAATTGTAAAAGAAAGCTGTTATCCATACAGTTTTTAGGTGACAAACATAATTTGATATTTAAAAATAATACAAATGAAAAATATGCTTAAGAGGTAATAAGGATAGAAAAGGACGAAGAGGCAAAAGTTGTTATCTTACTGAAACCACCAAGCGAAATAATAATAATAATAATAAAAAAGCTTCGTAATATGTTTCCGTCGAAATATCTGCGCAAACATACACGATATAACACATTCTTTAAAGCATGAGAATGAGTATAAGAGCAGCACTCTCACCGTGAGTTCCGATAGAAGCAGCCGAGTGAAGCAGCGGATCTCAGATGAACTGTCTCGTGCTCTGAAAGTCTGAAAGGCGCGCCGCTGTGAAGTCTGATGTCAGTGACGTTCACAACCAGGGAACGTTTTTTTTTTATATAACTTTGTAAACTAAACAAATTAATTCTGTGAAAGGTAATACATTTATTAACATAATGCAATTGTTGCTTGCAATTAAAAAAATGCATGGCTAATTGTTTGACCAATTGTTTTCTCACTTTCCTTTTTAAAGGGGTCATATGATGCGATTTCAATTTTTCCTTTCTCTTTGGAGTGTTACAAGCTCTTGGTGCATAAAGAACATCTGTAAAGTTGCAAAGACTTAAGTCTCAAATCCAAAGAGATATTCTTTATAAAAGTTCAGAGTCAGCCACACCTACCTAAAACAGCTTGTTCCAACACGCCCCAAAATAATGCTCTTTTTAGCAACATCATATGACCCCTTTAAAACAATTGTAATATACATCAAATATTTAAAAATGTATAACTTGCAGAAGTCAGCGGACCACAAGGTGGAGCTTCCATCTAACAAATCATACTAAATCATATCTAAACTAGTGTTTTATCGCTATACATGGAAATAACGTGAGGATTGTGTTGGTGGAAACCAGTTACTTAAAAACATAAATCATCAAGCTAATAATTACATAAACACAGCCAAAAAGAATTAAGAATGTGTTGAAATGTTGAAACACAAAGGGTCTGTCTCTGCGGCTTCGCATTATCAGCAGATTTCAGCACAAGAAATACCATGTGCAGTACTAAACAAAAGCTTCTCACAAGACTGCAACTGCATCTCAGTGAAGATGCTGTTCCTCCAGTAAAAAATAAACAACAAATGACGACACTTGTACATTGTAGAAATGTTCTTATTTACAGGTCTTACCAAGCTAAAATAATTATTACTTGGCTGGTCATGTGATTCATGAGGTTGTCCAGGTCAAAATGTTAAGATTTTGCTGGTTAGCTGAGAAGGGTCTGTCTGCGGACTGCAAGAGAGGGGTAGCTTGGTCCATCAAGCCCGTTGGTAGATGTTATAATTACACCATATGGACACAAAAAAGCAACTTTATTTACTGGCAGCCATCAAAACATAGATATATATAAAAACATATATATCATATATATTTACTTATGAGATAAATGTTTTGCTAGTAACATTTAAATCAGATATATTGCATGATAGCACAGATGTTTAACCAGTGCCGAAACAACTTTTTCCTCCCATCACCTGTTATGATGAATGACAGATAAAATCCTTCCTAGATTTCTTTTCCTCACAGAATATCTGTGGCATTTAGAAATACCTCAAATTATGTTGATTATATTTCTTGTTTAATGTTTATTATAAAAAGCTGTGACTGAGCTGTGCTAAAAGCTGTGTTGAAGTCCTTGGTCATTTTGTAAAAGTAATACAAATGCAGAAACAAAAGACATCCGAAGACAGTGTAAAATATATTTGACAGAATTATATACGATTGTCAAGTGAGCATTTTTTTTTCTTTCTAAAATCTCGAGAACGCATTAAGATATGCAAATAAACAGTACATTCCATGTACAAGTTTACGTTATATTTACAACTGACTTTACCAAATTTCACAAAGTTAATGCACTAGTAAAGTTTGGCCGAATAATAAATGAGGACTGTACAATCAGCTTTTTTCATCTGAAAGAGATCAGTTTTCTCAACGTCTGTGATGAGCATATTTCAAAGCTTCCACCCAAATGAATGACTTCCTGAAAGTGAATATTCTAGACAATTAGTCCAAAACCTTTAGTCAGAATGATGCTGTACACACTGCGCTTAAAACACTGAAAATACATAATATACTGTCAATCTGTATGCACATTTTGTTTTTCTGGGTCACACACGTGTACGCAATACATGAACACACAAGATACATGGAGAGAACCAACCAATCCATCAGAACGAAAAAAACAATCAGCCTGCTTATTACTCCATAACAGAGCCCTGAAATACTGTGCTTTAACGTTTAGTGCCCACAAACTAATGATTGTTTTATACATTGTCTCAAACATTTGAATTTTTTCTTGTTCACGTAAACACACAAATTGTCAGTCTTTATCTCTCGCTCTCAATCAGAAAGAGCTGTGATAGTGAGGCAATGCTGTGCTGTAGAACCCTGAAATGGATTTTAGATCACAAAGATTTCCACAGATGGTACAAAGTGAGAGCTGCATCAGACCTGAGGACAAATGCATTACATTATAATGGTGCAATATCTGAAGCAGGCATTGCAGACTCTGTTCCCTCTTGTTTTTCCTACTGAGCACCTGACAAATAATAATAATATAATAATAAAAAAACAATGTCTGTCACAATACCATCTGCCTTTATCAAGAAAGGTATCTGTTTCGTACTAATTATAATACAATACTTACATCTCGTGTTAATGGATGCATAATCCATTATAAAAACTGCCTTTTGTCTTTTTATATTTGAAATAGTTGCACAACTTTTTAAATCACATCCAGATAGTGGCCGGCCACACCAAACAGAACAAAACAAGAACAAAAAGAACAACAAACTCAAGAACCCATATATTGTCACTCAGTTTTTCCAAAGGCCAAGCATTCCATTTTGTTCAAGAAGCTTTTCTTATTCACTTCTGTTGGGACACCACTGCTAATGTATTAAAAGAACACAAAATCAAAGTCAATACATAATGTTGTCATGGGAACAGAGGTGCTAGTCATTAAAAGGCAATGCCAGCTGTATGAGATATGATTCAGTATGGCAGTAACAAATGCAGTGAGTGAAATCAGAAACATACCAGCTTCATTTGAAAGCAGATTGCTCATAAAAAAAAAATGGAAATACACAAATATGCTCATTTAAAAGACTTCTAAATGAGTCTGCAATGAAAAAAAGTCTGCTATGTTTTCAATGTTTCAAAAGATAGACCCACATTTAAAGGGATAGTTCACCCAAAAATGAAAATTCTGTCATTAATTACTCACCCTCATGTCATTCTAAACCCATAAGACCTTCGTTCATCTTCGGAACACAAATTAAGATATTTTTGATGAATTCTGAGAGCTCTCTGACCCTCCCATAGACAGCAATGTAATTACCACGATCAAGGTCCAGAAACGTAGCAAGGAGATCGGTAAAATAATCCATGTGACATCAGGGGTTCAATCGTAATTTTACGAAGCTACGAGAATACTTTTTGTGCGCAAAAGAAAAAAAATAACGACTTTATTCAACAATTCATCTCCTCCACGTCACCCTAGTGCCATTTTGGAGAGTATCCACTAAACATAAATTGCGTATGCTGTTTTGTGTCAGCTGCTCCACGCGGATGCGTTGTTTTCATTCAAATCAAAGCGTAAAAGACGTAAACAGCGTATCCACGTGGCACAGCTGACACAGAATAGCATACGCAATTTGCGTTCAGTGGATACTCTCCAAAATGGCGCTAGGGTGAAGCGGAGGAGACGAATTGTTGAATAAAGTCGTTATTTTTGTTTTCTTTGTGCACAAAAAGCATTCTCATAGCGTCGTAAAATTACAGTTGAACCCCTGATGTCACATGGATTATTTTACCGATCTCCTTGCTACGTTTCTGGACCTTGATCGTGGTAATTACATTGCTGTCTATGGGAGGGTCAGAGAGCTCTCAGAATTCATCAAAAATATCTTAATTTGTGTTCCGAAGATGAACGAAGGTCTTACGGGTTTAGAGCGACATGAGGGTGAGTAATTAATGACAGAATTTTCATTTTTGGGTGAACTATCCCTTTAATAAACAGAGGTTTATACACTTAAATATATTGTTAAATCCAGCAGGATAGAAGTGTAAGACCTCATTACTAGGGCTAATTCAATTTGAAAACTGTTCATAAATGTTATATTTGTAATTCCAATCCATCCAGAATCCAACAAACTATTCAACAGCAACCGAATCTGGTCTGAGAACAATAAAATTCAATCTCATCAAAAGAAAAAGCCCCTACAAATGTCATCCAATTGTTATGAGGGAGGTTACAGCAGATGTGCACATTCAATTTCAGAGCAGGCACACACGACTGCCCCTTTATTATTGATTTTGATTTAAAAAAAAAATTAATAAAAATAAAGCAAAAGAAAACCCCAAATACAATCATTATGTCAATCTCAGGAAGAAGCACAGAGGACCCTTGGTAGTGCTCTTTTCCTTTCAGCACTAGCCATTTTACCCCTAAAAGCCTCTTAATTTACCTAATGTTGCCCTTAGGCTTTGGAAGGGACCTCGTATTTGAAGACTACACTGAAGATCTTGCCTCCAAGACGCTCGGCCAGCCAGGAGTTCTTTATGACGGCAAGTTTAAGGCTCTCGCAGCTGAGCATGGCGTAGTAGTTTGTGTGGATGGCCCGACCCATTCCTTCAATGATCACCAGATCTGTGCCACGCTCCCTGACGGCTGTGGCCAGGACTTTGTCCAGGCGACTGAAGAATGAAGAACAAAGGGAGAGACCATGGTTTTAAGCAAAGGGAACTCGCACAGAACTCACGCATTGGCTTTCTGTTTCACTCCAACAAATGAAAATACAAATATGGCGGGAAAACAATATACCTCAGGTCCAAACAAGGAGAACTCGAACCATTCTGCACCAAAGCAAGTCTGTCCTCTTTGAGTGCAGCACTGAAAAAGGGAAAATGGAAATATGATCTGCTGTTACTATGTTACTTCAGTATGATGTAAAAAATAAGGGTGTATTGGTTCACAAAATTTTGTTTTTGTTTTTTTACTTCCAATATCATGCTATATGAGCCATAAAAGCCTGATGTATCAGCATGATATTCAACAAAAAACACATTATATATTTTTTTTTTTGTCTAAAGGCTCAACTGGTGACTATTAATTTATATGTCAGGCTTTACAGGGTTAAGCCATATACTGCAGCACACTGTACAATTACTGATAAAAATGTCCATTTTGTGAAATATTAAAGGAGACATATTATGCCCCTTTTTACAATATGTAATATAAGTCTCTGGTGTCCCCAGAATGTGTCTGTGAAGTTTCAGCTCAAAATACTCCACACATAATTTATTATAACATTTTGAAAATGTCTATTTTGAGTGGAAGCAGAAACACGCTATTTTTCGGGCCTGTTTCTTTAAATGCAATTGAGCTGCTGCTCCCCGCCCCCATTTTCCAGAATAGAGCTGCACCATTACAGCTCGGACCTGCTAAAAAATTAACGCTCGTTTTCTCAGACGCTTGCAGAAAAAGGCTTACCAAAACAAAGTTACTGGGTTAATCTTTTTAACGTTTCCTTGGTTGGTAGATGCACTGGGGACCTGATTATAGCACTTAAAACCTGGAAAAGTCAGATTTTCATGATATGTCACCTTTAACATTTATTGGAATTGAAAAGAGTTATGAATAGTTCTGTTGCCACTGTCAAAGATCATTTTAATACATCGGGGGTTCAGCATCACATAATTTGTATTTCATTCTTTCTATTATTGTGCACAAAGGCTGCAATGTCATGTGACATTATCTATACTCATTTACATTCTACATAGGTGAGAGACTATACAATTTTATTACACCCCGGGGTAGAGGGTGAGCACTCACTGAATGACAGGGTCCATGGCAGCTATTCTCTCCGTTAGGATCTGCAGCTCACTGTTAGTGACGTCATTGAGGGCAGGGCCTGAGTTACTAGCAAGAACAACCTAAAAGCCAACATAACTGCATATGTAACTAAAACCTTAAGAACACACTGAAAAGACTCAATAATTAGATTTTTAATAATTGTGTATTGTTGTTGACTTACCTCTGTGCCTCTGACGAGAAGTTCTCTAATGAAAGGGAAAACGCCGAGAATAATGTCTATTCCACTATTATCTACGAAAAATAATGCACATTTATGAGGAGGACCCTGTAAAAGAAAGCCAGCAGGTACACCTTCAATCAAGACCGGGAAGACTTCATAGATTGTTTAACATGCTTTCAGACAAAATATTGAATTCATAGTATGCACAATGTCTTGAAACAGATGCAAAATATGTTTTTTATAATGTTTAAAAACCGGCCAGGGTAGACATTATACACATGCTAGTGCTGTGTTCAAAATATCGATACGACGATGTATCGTCACAGAGATTTGACGATACGAGTATCGATACAGCTGGCCCTGTATCGATATTGCGGCACGTGTGCAGCAGTGGACCACGCTTAATTTGTTTAAACTTTTACAACGTTTAAAATGGAGTAGAAACGTGCGAGGTTTCTAAAAAAGAATGAGTAGAGCATATATAGGCTACAACCAGGTTTAATCTGGCCACAGAGGAACACAACCGGGGTTGCCTGATATAAAGAGACGTAATCCCCGAAACAGAGCTTTACACTTGCGCAATACGGAAATATCTGCTAATTGTGTTACTTATCTTTGTCAACCTGGCAACCATGTGCACACACGCGCTCTCTCTCTCTCCACTGTGGATAAACGTGCTTGCTTTCTGAAAACAGCGGTTAGCTTGCAGTTTAGCGATCTCCACTTCAATATTCTATTCTCAGAAAAGTGTAATTCATCAAGTGTTCATTTAAATCAGAATATTGTACCTGGTGGAGAGTGCCAAATGTAAACATGAAACATACGCCATTACTTATATTGTAGCCTACTGTGGTACAGTTATGGAGGCCCTTTATAACGTGGTCAACTGCCTGCTCTGCCTATAGTTAGAAATGGCCCTATAGTAAGCAGTGTTTAATAAACAGCTGTTTTACTAAATTCTGCTGAGGTGAAATTCAGTGCAGTCATGTATCGTGATGCGTTTTGTATCGTGATACGTATCGTATCGTGACTTTGCTGGTGATACACAGCCCTACAACATGCACGTTTAAAAAGTTACAAACTCCACTGTCAAAATCCAAGCCAGTTGCTGTCACTCCGTCCTAACCAGTTTTCAACAAGCAATTTGTTTTGTTTACATTAGTAAATAAATACACTGCACAGCAGCAGCACATAATCACAGTCAGTAAGAACATAAGTCATAAGAAAAAAGAAAAAATATTCGACCCACAGAATTGGCATGTTTACTAATAATGTAGAATTCACACATTTATGTGCACCTAAAAGGATCTTGGACAAAAAGTTTATTCACATAAATTTGCTCTGACCATCATTTTAATGTTGATGGTAAATTACAAGCATAATGACATACTGGTTTTACTTATTAACTTTTAGTGATCTGGATTTTTGGAACAATTAGTTTCAGCATAAATCAATGCTGATATCTGATGTTTTGTTTTTATGTCCTCCATAATTCCTCTATATCTACAAAAAAAAATACATTTTAAAATTTAATAAGACAAATATTATTTTTTAATCCCTTTCTCTCTTATACATCAAACATGAAATAAAATCTGTGTCAGCAGAATATTTTTTTTTATTATTATTTAGATGTTTTATATTATAATATTAAAACATTATCATTATTGTTATTATCAAGTCATTATTGTTTATTTTGTAATAACTTTCAGTATTTTACATGGGAGTGGAACGGTTTAATTCATAATATTACTTTTATTACTAATATTATTGGTCAATTAATTAGTTACCAGTTACTGTTTTCTCTGTTTTCTTCAGATATTAGAGTACACAAAACTATGTGTGTGAATGAGACCCAATGTTGTGGCTTTTTTACAGACAAAAGTGCTTAATAACCATAAAAGGGGTGACGTATCCTGGGGGATACAAACATTTGAGATGCTGTGGGGAGAGGCAGTGGAAGTGCATGTCTTATTTCTTGGTTTCATTGAAAGGGTGTTTGCTGTGAATATTTAGATCTGGGGCCCATTTCAATAAGGAGGTTCAACCAACTCTTGAGTTGTAATTATTGTAATTGTAATTATTAACACAACATTACAACAAAGGTTTACTGTAAGTTATGAGAGAATAAAATGTTTTAAAAATGTAGCTAAACTGTGGTAGCGTGCATTGCCAAACAAGCATTGTTTTCAATCAATTTATACCCCCAAAGGGGCGACGTACCAAACATTAAAATCAAAAATAAGTCAAGTTTAAAAAAAAAAAGCACAAATTTGTATTATATGTGTCCTAATAAGATACAAAACAGCAATAAATTAATTTTCTAATGTCTTTTTATGGTCTTGCCCTTTCTAGGTTAAAATGGAAGAGATATTATCATATCACACCCGGTTAGGTCAGAGTGCATGAATGCAGCTTACTATAAAGTTCAATATAGCATTTGAGAGGCATGTTAAAGACATTGTCGATTTAAGATCTGACCTTCAGTCTCTCAATCCACTGGTTGTAGGCATCCACAAGCCATGGCCTCTCTGGGAATAAGAAATGTATATAGATTAGATATAGATAGAACAAATAATATATTATTATTATTATATAATTTTTAATAGTTTAAAATACGTTTTCATACCTTGTAATTGCTGTTTTGCTTGTTCAAACCCAAAATCTGGATCTGATTCAAGCACACTAAAGAACAATTAAAGGTAAGAATATACCCGATGTGCGTTAAAAACAAACAACAAAAAATCTCCTAGCATACTCGTCAGTACACTCACTCTGACACGGCTTTGGCTCCCCAGTCGAAAACGTTGCCAGCCAGGAGGCCTTTGACCAAAGTGAACTGTCTCTGTTCCCAGCTCAGCTCCTCTACTGACTTCACCACCTTCAGATAGTATTTCAGGGCCATGTCATTCTCCTTCTGCTTAATCTGCAGGCAAACAGAGAATCAGACTGAGAACTGATGAACTCGATCAGCCACTAACATGGTTTAACCACTGAAAAATAGACACACACACATGCATAGAGATAGAGACTGAAAAGATCTAATTAAAGAAAAAAACATGTTTACAAGATTTTAAATATGAGATTGTGGGGAACTGATGTATTTTGAAGCACCGCAGGCAAGGTGAAGGACGATTCAAGATTCAATGTAAACCTTAGAGTAGGGGTCAGGAAAGTTGAACTCGTTTAAACAGTGTTCTCTTGTGTCTAAAAGACTTCTGACGGTGAGGGATCCATAAGCACTAGAGATGAGATGAGAGGAGAGGCAAGCTACATTAGAAGAGAGAAACACTCATCCAGCAACACTCAAGCACACACACACACACACACACACACACACACACACTAGACTTTAACTCATAAAACATCCTAATATCTACTAAGATCTTGATGAATATTAAGCGACAGATATATCAGTCCAAGCTGAAGAATGAACCCTTGATGAGCTGTGGCAGAGGATGAAGGTTCATGGTTGCTCTTACAAAGGCTGGTGCCGAAGAGTCTGGACTTTATGACGGTATTTCTGACGAAACTTCTCTGCTCTTTCCACAGCCTCTGGTTGGTCTTTCTGGCTAGCTATGGCTCGCTTCACCACCTGTTAAAAAACAAAATGAGTTCATGAACATTCATGATTTCCTTATTTTTTGTTTTGTTGTGGAAATCTAGTGTACAGCAAACCTGACACTTCTAACCTTATCCTCTAACTACACAACACCAAAACACACTCTAGCCTGCCGCAAATGCTTAATGTCACGATAGTTACCATCTATTTGCATTAGTTTAAATCCAGCTGGTCACATTAATGCATTTGTCACCCAGTGAAGTTGCAGATTTAAAGCTGTGACGTGAGAAAGCAAACTGATATGTTCATGCAGCCGACAGAAATTCTGCCGTGCCACAGAGCGCCATTCACACAGTTTTCCATTAAATTACATTATATTTGTCCAAAATCGTTCTTAATGTACATAATGACTTCACCCTAGGCTGTAAGATTGTGTATTGTGCATTTTTCAGTGAAATGTTTGTCTTTCTGTGGCTCTAATAAAGTCTGTATGCTTCACACAGAGAGCTGTTTTATAGATCGCGCTTTTTCTTTACGTTTTACTCTCTTTTCACCGAACTTCACTTTTTTGATCATTCTTGAAGTTAACTTTTGCCCGTTTGGTGATTAAATAAACTGTTTTAGACACTGCTTGAACTGAATGCGACACATCCGATGTGTGTGATAGACTGTATAAAAACATGGATGTAGTGTCCGTGACGTCGCCTGTAGGTTTCTGAAGAGCATTTTTGAAGCTCAAAGTGGGCGGAGCCAGCCGTCGCCATCTTGGCAGCGCGTCACTCCTGGATAATCAATGGGCAAAGAGGCGGGACGTGGGTGGAGCTGGTTTCTGAAACCACGCCCACCTAGCTCGACGGTGGTGACAGCAGCGGCAATCCACCTGTCACTCAAGTAAGCCATGCCCTTAATTATGCAGCACTTTAAGGCTTAATATAATTTAAACGGATGAATTACAAAATAATTCACCACCCTCACAGTTGTCATGAAGGACAAAATTAGCTATATAGACCAAAACCACTTTTTGTACCCGGCTGTGTAAACATTTTTTTCTGCTGTGAAGTTGGGCATTTTAACATGAGGAGTCTATGGGACTGACTCTCTTTTGGAGCCAGCCTCTAGAGGCCAGTTGATGAATTACAGTTTGTCACTTCAGTACGTCGCCTGTAGGTTTCTGAAGAGCATTTTTGAAGCTCAAAGTGGGCGGAGCCAGCCGTCACCATCTTGGTAGCGCGTCACTGCGCGTCACTCCCAGATAATCGAAAATGGGCAAAAAGGTGGGAGCTGGTTTCTGAAACCACGCCCACCTAGCTCGACGGTGGTGACAGCAGCGGCAATCCACCTGTCACTCAAGTAAGCCATGCCCTTAATTATGCAGCACTTTAAGGCTTAATATAATTTAAACGGATGAATTACAAAATAATTCACCACCCTCACAGTTGTCATGAAGGACAAAATTAGCTATATAGACCAAAACACTTTTTGTACCAGGCTGTAAACATTTTTTTCTGCTGTAAAGTTGGGCATTTTAACATGGGGGGGGGTCTATGGGATTGACTCCCTTTTGGAGCCAGTCTCTAGCGGCCAGTCGATGAATTGCAGTCATTTCCGTGTTGGTTTCGAGAGAGAGACCAGAAAGGTTGCCGCTTGGCGATACCTGATACCTGCAAGTTTTTTTTGCCCGATGTGCGACTGCCATATTTTGTTATTTTGATTAGATAATCATCACATGTTCTATAATAGAAGCAATTAAAGTGTGAAAGTATGCATACAATATTCATATGTATGTAATTTCAATACTATGGCCTTTGTGTAGATTTAAAGATCTATCTAGTTAGAGCGTGTTAACCAACACATTTTTAAATTCTGAAGTTGCTTCTGTTAACATTAGTCAGGGGTAGGCAAGTTCGGTCCTAGAGAGCCGCAGTCCTGCAGAGTTCAGCTCCAACCCTAATCAAACACACCTGAACAAGCTAATCAATGTCTTCAGGATTACTAAGACTATAGGCAGGTGAGTTTTTTTTTCAGGGTTGGAGCTCAACTCTGCAGGACTGCGGCTCTCTAGGACCGAACTTGCCTACCCCTGACATTAGTTAATGAACTATGAACTAACTTTAATTATCTGTATATAATTAATATTTAATATAAATTTTTGTATTCTTGCACAAAGTATGTTTCAGTACTTTTTTTTTTAAACAGTAAATCACTATTTTGTTTTTCGTTCGGTATCTATTTTAAAAACTATCGGTTGATTAATCTGTATCGGCCAGTGTGGTTCAACCTAGCTATCGGTAAAATCGGTTGATCTCTAGTTTTAATGAAGTTAAATAACCGAAATGCACAGTAAACATCAAAGTCAAGAACGAAGAATGAGAGTAAATTGAAAAGGAGTGTGGAGAAACTGAGTTAGCAAAGTTTCATTTTGTGATATACTAACAGCAAAGTTCTTTTTCGTTTTTTGCTTATCGATAAAATGACGTTTGAAATCCCTTTGCAGTGCTATACTGTTAATGAACATCCCAACATCCACACTAATGAGAGTGCCATTTAGATGAATATGTGAATATGTTCTGTGCGCTTTCCTCTTAATAACAAAACAAATATACAACAAAAATAAGTGAGAAAACAGCAGTTAAAAAAATATCTGATCAAAGCAATGTCGGCACTATCCAGTCAAGTCACGTCATGTTTATTTCTAACCTACTTTATAAAATATTGCTTTAAAGCCACAAATATCATAACTATTATCTATAGGCCTACTGTAAATGAGACATTTATCTGTTTAATTTAATCTATTTAACTGACAAATATCACAAAGTTACATTGTGGAAAATAATTCAGGAATTACATTTTTCCAGTTGAGACAACGTAACTAGTTATGTTGCCATGACGAAAGTTTAGTCATCATATTACATTGAAGTCACATAACAGTCACATATCATGGTTAGGTGGGTAGGTACTGAGCTTATATAATGAGCAATTCTGTGAAAGAACTAATCAATTTTACAAATTTGCCAGGTTAGTGACCTCAAAACATCTACATATCAACATATCAACAACCAGAAAGTTATTTCTGTCCTGTTTCTACTTTTGAACTAACGGAAATTCAAGTCAGAAAGTCCCAGTGGGTGGTTGTTGGTCAGAATAAGCCGCAAAGTTGACCAGCCTTTATGCTGAGTTGTGAGACTTAGATATTTTTTTTTTGAACAAGTTATCATAGCAAATTAATAATCAAAGTCACAAAATGAAAGACAAAAAGACAGAGCCTGGAGGCCTTACCCCATCCAATGCCTCCTCAAAGCAGTAGAGCCAGTACTCCCGAGCCAATGCATCCTCAGTCAGGTCCACCGTGTCTGGAATATAAGAGGTCGGGTCCTGCAGCAGGGGGAGGTTGACTAGCTGCCTATCCAGACGGTCCATCTCCAACATGTCAAACTTGAGGGAATGAATAAAGAGGAGTAAGTACCCACAATGCACTGAATGTCAAATTGTGCATTCATCTGCACAGGAAAGGCTATAATTCCTCGGCAGACATTTGGTGACACTAAGAAGAGGTTCAAACATAAATCAGGCAAACACATCTAACTTAAGGGTTCACTGATGATATAAATATTGATTCTTTCATTTAGAATGCTGCAGTGATAAAACATTTTTGTAGGCCAACCCGGAAGTTATCATTACCCTGGTTCCTTTGACAAAAACCCAACACATTTACATTTATTCATTTAGCAGACGCTTTTATTCAAAGTGATAATGAAATGAGAAATACAACAAGCGATTCATCATAAAGAGGCAATAAACACAAGAAGTGTTAGTAATACATAACTGACGTTGTTCAGAACATTATAAGATAGAACAGGGAGGAATTAAGGAAAAGTGTAAGCAGAGAGGATTTTTTTTTTGCAGGATGCAGTTAGGTGCTCACAGAAGAGATGAGTTTTCAGCTGTGGGTGTTCCAGATGGGGATGGGAAGATCATTCCACCAGCAAGGAACAGTGAACAAAAACGTAAAAAAAATCACTGAAAAGTAATTTTGTTCCTCACTGTGATGGTACCATGAGGCATTGCTCACTTACAGATCTCAGGCTTCTAGAGGGGATGTAGCCTCATAAGAGTGAGTGGAGGTAGGAGGGTGCGGCGCCCTTGGCTGTTCTGTATGCAAGCATCAATGTCTTGAACTTGATGCGAGCCGCATCCGGTAGCCAGTGCAGAGAGATAAAGAGAGGTGTGACGTGGGGTCTCTTGGGCTCGCTGAAGACCATGCATTCTGAATCATCTATAGTGGTTTGACTGTACATGTTGGAAGCCCAGCCAGAAGAGCATTACAATAGTCCAGCCTAGAAATGGCAAGAGCCTAGACGAGAAGTTGTGCAGCATGCTCCGTTGAGAAGGGCCTGATCTTCCTGACGTTGTGCAATGCAAACCTGCACGGTTGTGCTGTCTTTGCAATGTGGTCTTTGATGGTCAGATGGTCATCAAAGATTACCCCAAGACTTTGACTGAACTTGATGGGATTATTGTTAATGAACCTACCGTAGCTGGATGGTGAAATTAAGCTGTACAATCAGAGTGGCAGGGATAATGAGAAGCTCTGTCTTTGCCAGGTTGAGCAGGAAGTGATGTTCTTTCACGCAAGATGTCCACTAGGCAGTCTGAGATCCACAAAGCTACCGTTGAATCATCTGGTTGAAGTGAAAAATAGAGCATAGCAATAGTACGAGAAACCATGTGCCTGTATGATGGGTCCCAGTGTTGTAGTGTATAGGCAGAAGAAGAGGGGTCCAAGAACTGACCCCTGAGGATCCCCCATGACCAGCTGATGTGCTTTGGATACTCCAGGCAATCCTGAAAGACCTACCTAAGGGACAGGATTCAAAACAGTGAGGTGGAGTTGCTATGATGCCCAGTGATGAGAGGGTGAAATGAAGGATCTTATGATTGACAGTGTGAAATGTGGCAGATAGATCAAGCAGAATGAGAACTGATGATTTGAAATCAGCTTTCGCGATCGACAGCAAGGCAGTCTCAGTTGAATCGCCACTTTTAAAACCTGATTGGTTCTCATCCAGCTGGTTTTTCTTTGAAAGGAAAGATGATAGCTGGTTGAAAATAAATAGTTGCCTGTGTGAAGAGATGTTCTGATGTGTTCAAGTGCTGGTAAAAGTGTAGAAGAAATGGCTTAAAGAGGATGTGAGGGGACAGGGTCTAGAGGGCGGGTGGAAGGATGAATGGAGAGGAGAAGTTTAGATACTTTTGACTCTGAGAAAAAAGGAGGAGGAGAAGAGTTTGTTTGCTGTGGATGTAGCTGGTATGGGTTCTAGTGTGTGTGGAGCTGAAAACGAACTACTGATGGTTAATAGATTTATACGTGAAGAAATTAGCAAAATCATCAGCTGTTAAAGGGTGTGCGTATATATATATATATATATATATATATATATATATCCTGAGCTTGCTTTACCCACAGATCTTATTTCAGGCATTTAACCAAAAATGCATTCATAAAACTTATTGACTTCAGGACCATGGAACCAGAAGTCCTAAAATGCTGACTCATGACTGTGTTTTGGCCTACGAAAACACGTCATCTCTGCAGCACTCTATTCACTACCCAAACCAACCATTATTTGTGGCTATAGCCCTAAAGGGCCATTCACACAGATGCAACAGTATCCAATTGCAGAACTACAGTGCTGCTGATTGGAAAAGAAGGCAGTGTCTTGAGACACATCTTTAAGAGCTGAACTTCTTTTAACTTGACACACCGTCTTTATGCGGCACTCATGTGTGAGACACTGAAAAAACAATGACAAGCAGTGCAATAGTTAAAAGATGTCTGTTTAGCGCATGTTTGCATTGGAAAACAAGTAAACAGTGGAACACAACAACATGTTCGGTCTAGACGGGCCCTAACAGTGCAATCAAAATGCCACCTTATTGACAAATTTTCAAATTTCTCACAACAGCAACTGTCAAACATACAAGACAGTGAGTACTCATCTACAACTAGATAATTTGCACCTTTTACACTCATGAAAAATAAGTGCATCACACTGAATTAATATCCATGGCAACACCACATACATTCATAATGATTAAAAAAACAAAACCTTCAGAAAATGCTACCAGTGATTACTTTTTTTTTTTTTAAAGGAAAGAGCAAGCAGAGAAAACCACAAGAAAAGCCTGGAAAAAAATGTACTTACTGGAAACTGAAGGGAAAATATTAGGGAATAGATAGAGAAGATGGATGGATGGATGAACGAATGGACAGATGGAGAAGTGGAAAAGAAAAGAAAAAAAGAAAAGAGATGAAGTAAGAACATTATGAGAACATAAAATAGTTCATGAAAGATAAGTAGCATGCATCTCAATTGGCCAAATCCATAAATATAGTGCATTTAAAGGGGTCACATGATGCGATTTCAAGTTTTCCTTTCTCTTTGGAGTGTTACAAGCTCTTGGTGCATAAAGAAGATCTGTAATGTTGCAAAGACTAAAGTCTCAAATCCAAAGAGATATTCTTTATAAAAGTTAAGAGTCAGCCACGCCTACCTAAAACGGCTCGTTCTAACACGCCCCCACATATCTACGTAACTATGTGGAAATATTAGCATAATGCCGCCCAAATGTGCACGCAAAGAAAGAAGGCGTGGTTTCAGGAACAGCAGTAGTGTTGATGCAGCCATGTCAGGGAGACACTGTGTTTCAGTGCGAAAGCAAAAGCACTTTATTTGGCCTTCTGGAAGTAGATGCAATTAGGAATCATTGGTTAAGATTTATTTACAACAGAACAGCACAACCCAGATGTTCGAATTTGTGCAACGCATTTTATGGATGACAGTTATTTGAACCTAGAAGAGTACACCTAGAGTGTACACCTAGAACCTAGAAGGCTGGCTGTGCACAAAGGCTATTTCTAAAAAAAAAAAAAGGGAAATTCCCGACTTGCAATATGACAATCTGACGCTTCTGGTTCTGAATCAGCGACTGTAAGTATGTTT